CTCCATTGCGCATCGCAGATGAATACCCATTATCGTTTTCATCTATTTCCCACATAGAATTGGTCTTTGAATTCTTTAATGGTTCCCGAGGCGATAAGTGATGTTTCATTGGCAGCTGTTCCAGTAGTCTTGACCGATAGGTTGGTATCTTCCAGTGATCAATATAGTGAGGCCAGTTGGCTCTCATGGGTTCACTGACTCTCATTCATTGCATTTTTACCGTTATCTCATTTTTCTAATCATTTTGAGCTTCAAAAGTCCTGCTTTCTTCCACTTATCATAATCCACTTGTAGATGTGGTCCTTCAACCTTCTCATTTCGCTTGTGTTGTTGGCGTTAAACACAAATGCTTCAGAAGATTGGCAGCCTATTGGCTATAAAGATTGCAGTTGGGTAAATGCTCTCTACTAGGAGAGTTTGATGAATACTTTAAACATTCAAAGTTCTCTTACGGAATATTTTACAGAATCCAAGTTCAATATTTTGGACGTACAGGCCGCTGGGTGCTATTTGAAGGACACCCCAAATGGGAAGAAACTTTGCGAATTCAAGGAAGGTTCAACTCCAAGAATTAGGATCAAATTCATTCCAGGTTGGCGTATTTGTTCCGTCTTTTACTAGTTTTAAACAAAATGGGTGACTTCTATAGATGAAACTGTGGATAAGCTGAAAACTCAGATTAAAGCCAAAATTGGCCAGACATTTCTCGAGTTCCCCATGGCCGACGCAGATGCCTGCACTTATGGTAACTGCTTTGAATGTTGAGATAATGATTTACTTCTTCACTAAAATGAATTTTTAGGAGTGCAATGCCCTGTTGAAGCCGGAAAGGAGTATGTTTACGAGAAGGGGATTGAAATAATCAGTAATTACCCGAAGGTAAGCAGTAGAGACTTCATTTGAATTTATTAATTAATTTTAGACTATTTTATCCTACTGATGCTTACTATCTTCCTTAAAGGACGAAACTGTACAAGTAAACTGGATGGTCAAAGAGGAGAAGAACGATGGGAAAGCTGTGTGCATCATATTTTTGGCTCGAATAGTCGCGTAACTTGTCCGTGTCTAATGTTCAATGCGAATAAATGTCTGGTATGTCAGTTCAAAGTCTAAGGTTCAAAAATTGATCTCAGGCCGAGCATTATGGAAGAAAATTACTACGCAACAGTTGTTGAGAAAAGTTTGCTTCTAGCTACCATTTGAAGGTTTGGGGATTTTCAGTCATAATGTCTTTGAGAAAAAATCACTCTTTTAAGAACTTAATACTTAAAACAAATTTTTAATGGTTTTATTTGATGGCCTTTGAATGCCGACGTTCTAGTCCATCTGTAATATGTAGGAGACTATGGCCACTATGATAATATCTTATTTTGCATTGTACACCTACTAAGTCATTGTCATCATTGTTATTCGTTTGAAATATTGTAAAATTCTACGTAAACTCACTGAAACCAAAGCGAGTAAAGTAAAATAAGCGTGCAGAGTGACATGTTAAGT